TGTTACCAAACTAAATTATTTTTGTACACACTAATTAAATATTTGATGTACTGTCATTGACATTTCGCTAGTTAATCCAAAAATAGCCTATAAAAATAATTCAAACGCATTATTTGCTTGTGTTAAATAACCAAACAAGTTATCATAAAACTCAACCAAAGCAACCAATCTTTGATCCTTTGCCGGTGGTGTTACGTTGTTATTACACGATAAGAGCAAAGAACATGGTCCACATGAAAACGTAAACATTTTATTACTATTTTTATAACCATATGATTTCTTGCAAGAAATAAGGCTAATGTGAGCATATTAGCATAATTCTTATTAAACAACTTAAAAACTACTATTGTTCTTTGCCTCTAATCGTGACATAATGTTAAAAAGAACCACCCAAATAAAACTTATAATTTTCGAGAATAACTTTGTAGCTGAAATAAACTTGCAACGAAGTATACACTACTCATTCGAAGAATTGGAACCGAATAAAAAAGTTTTCAAACAAAAAAATACACTACTCAACAATTAATTAGCTCTATTGCAAATGAGATGGACTCCTTGTGTTACATTCTAGTACATGACTACAAAGAGACCAAAATTGTGATCTATATCATCGACCATCCACTGGTTCAACCACCCAAATTTTTGTGTCAATTAGAGAGTCTGGTCATCCGTACGATCTTTACACAGTCCAATCCCAAGACATTGTGTCTTGATGAATGGAGTTGTCCGAGACCTGCAAGCAGATAAATAAACTATCATGAACATTATAAGGTAGTTTTTGTTATCGGATGAATGTGGATGCATTAGAAGGAACTCGACGCGCCCCACTCGTGTTAAGAAAGGTAACATTTTGTGAAAAACTGGTATAACAAGTGTTACATCACTTGAGCCTTGTTTGGTCTATCTCGATGCAATTAGCCAAAACACCAAAAACAGACACGAGCCTAGCTGTGCCAACAACATGGGTCCAGTTTCTTGTCCCAATACATATAATTGCTCCAGCCACAACTCCTCTGACCAAAGCATTTACCTGAGAAGTCCATCATCGAAAGTGAGTAAACAAAATTTATTAATGAATCAGATGACAACACTCTCAAGTTTCCATAAAAGGCTAAGCAAATAGAAGAAAATATATTTGGATCTAATCCAACCATTCTTACCTCGATATTGCTGAAGCCTATAGTGGGTCGTACTGAAAACACCACTTAGAAGATCTGAAAGGAAAACAAAAACAATTGCAATTTGCTAATGCAAGAAGTTTGATCTAAGTTATATATGGTCCACCAAATGTGGTACACCTAAAACCGAGAAGCGATTGAAGCAACTAATTCAAAAACTTAACACTAATATATATGTGTATGACATGGAAACCACCAACACTAAACATCATGATCTTTACAAATAAAGAAGAGCATTCTAATAAGAAGAAGAGTAGCTAAGCCCATAATTCATAACAACAATTAAAGTCTTCAACTCTATTTTTGTAATCATTGACAATGCATCTCCATTCTCTAGTGTAAAACAAGAATAAAAAGCAAATTAGAACATTGAAATCTGAATATGCCGACGCAAATATATCCATTCTCCTACACAAAGTTCCTTTAAGTTATATTGATTTTAAAAAAGGAAATTCTATAATATAGAGGACGAAACCAGAAACCCAAGACTAAACTGATCTGAGATATCTCTTGTAATAATCCAGCATCTTTCACATCATCATGACCCATTTGAAAGCTGACAACCAAAATTTTAGTGTTTGAATGTATGTTCGTTCCTTTTATATTCGGTGGGGAAAAAATTGCATCACCCCTTGTGAAGATCATCTCTTATAAAATACTACAATTTACAGGCTGCCTAATATATTCTATATGTGAATATTTCCAAAAATCAATAAAAATGAAAATTAGTGTGAATGGAAGATATAGGAAATGAACAACGTGAAATTTTATTGGTTTGGTTTTCAAATTTTTACGAGTTATTTCTATCTGCCATTCTACTCTCTATTTTGTTTAAAAATATAAACTTCTCCTTGAACTAAACCAAATTTGAATATGTACAAGGTTACAATAAGACCAATTAGAAGTTAGACGCATGAGAGAATGAATATAATACCTTACCAATTGGAGCAACCGAGCAACCAAGATGGCCCCATCCCAAAAGTCAGGCTTCTTTCTCTGTAACATCAAAAGCACTGTCCTCCCATTGTTCTCCTAACAAATACCTCATCTTCTCTTTATTCTCTTTTCTCTCTAAATTATTCCAACCACAAAAAAAAAAAAAATCAAAATCATATTTGTTATTTCATAAAGAGAGACAAACAAATATTCTATTTTGCAAATTGACAAAAAGGTTATTAGTCCTTTGAAAAATTATTCGAGTGACCATCGGGATGAATGGAGTTTTAACGATCTAAATCTTTTATAACTATTAAAAGCATAAAATTTTTATACAAGAGTCACTATATAATTACACTTTCTACCCAAATTAGAAGTCAGTATTACCATAAATGGTTGTGTAATGAGTAGAGACGTCATCTAGGAGATGGTGAAAATTTGGAACATAAGCATTAAGCCCTTCAGATTCGCCATGCCTTCATAATCAATTCCATATTCACCAAATCCTGCCTTCACAATCCTCCTCGTACCTAATTCAATCATAGTTCAGCTCAAACATGAACAAAGCTTTGATCTTTTGATGAATATATATGCATATACTAAACAATTAATCATGAAATGGTGATGGTACATTCCATTGCATATCCATGACAAATGAAGACTAAACCCTTTGGCTCTTGATTTGCTGGTACCCATCTACGCGTAAACAGATTCATTCCTCGAGTGTTTATAAAGATCTACTATAAGATCAATTAAATCTCCAAAAAAAAACCAGATTTCTTTATCGATGTAGTAATCTTAATACATTTGTATACATACCTCTTCGTAATTGGTGTTCTCTGATTCGCTAGCCTGCATACCAAGAACCCAATATTCATTACTATAAGAACAAATTGCAACATTTTCATATGTGATCTTGAAAGAGACATTGGGTCCATCCACTTGAAAGCATATCAGATGATATAAAGAAAGGAAACTCATACCATATCCTTTTTCGAGGCATATCCCAGAACGATAATTGAAGCTCGTACGAACTAAATTTTCTTTCCCCCATAGGACGACTGGCTCAAATCCGTGAACGAATAACTCATCGCCCCATCGTCGTGGTGTAAATTGTGTCCTTGAAAAGCGAAAAACAAAGGGAAGAGGAAGACGAGAGGGTGAAAAATGGGCGAGACATATTTGTGTTCTTTAGAGAGTTGAACGGGCGAGAAGCAAAAGAGGTGAAGCTCCATCAAAGCCATTGATTTTGAAACCCTAGCGTCGGAAGGGGAGACGTCAATGTTGAGTAATATTTTGTTTTTCCAAATCTGATGTTGCACACGTGGCCTATTATGAAAAGTGAGGTGGCATCACATGGAGAGAGAGCCATTGAGCTTTTAGTAAACTAGAAATTGACCCGAGTTATACTCGGGTATGTTTTATAGATTTGTTTGCTATATATAGTTCAAATAAAATGGTATCATGAAGGTTTTTTGATTTTGTGGATCCGACAAAATTTATATGTTTATCAAATGTAAAATATATAAAATGATACATTGATATTTTTCACTTTAAGTGTTTGTGTTGTTTAAAATTAATAATTTATTCATGTGAAATATACACACAAATAAGTACACAATTTCGTTGTTTGCAACATGTATTTTTGATTACCCTTTTAACTCATTCCTTATCAATTAATTTAATATAATTCAATTTATTCTTTTTGCATATGTTCATGCATATTTCCTTTTCTCTAAAAATTATTGGATTCATTGATTATTTGAAATTGGATAATATCAAAAGTTTAATTTCTTTGGCTCAAACACAAAACCTTTAAAAGTTAAAAGTTTTTATTTTTCTTAGCTCTTTTTTTTTGTCTATTATTGTATGATTTGTATCTTCATATCATACAACTAAAGACTAACATTTTATTTTCACACCAATTCAACCATTCACTCAAAAAAGTATATGAAACAATTACAACACCAAAATATTTTTTCCAACTTTAAGTGCATTGCATCGGATGAGATATGTTTTATCAATTGATTTAATATATCATTTGATGATATGATATGAAATTCATGAAATATCTTTATTCGCAGCTCCACATAGTGCAAATTATCTTTTAAACCCTTCGGCGCATTTTCACTTGGACAGTTGGACTACAAAAAAAAATTATCGTAATATGCATACAAATTGTAAATATTATATAGCTTACCTTGGGCACATGGAGCTCGTCCGTTTTAACCTCATAGATATTCTTGAGGCATAAGGATGATACTTACTATAGCATCTGCAATGTTTCACATTCAAGTTTTGTAAGAATTGTGACTGATATTTGCTATTGGTCATAGCTTAACCAATAATAAAAAAAAAACAGAATGAGATTAGTGTATATCTCTATATATCAATTCTCTCGTGTCTACTTTCGTTCTTTCACTTGTTTCAAACTCAAACTATTTTGGCATCAGTTGAGTAGATGATTCCTGATCCACGTATAGAAGTTAGGATATGCCAATGACTGTGCACACACATGTTAAAACTGATCTTACTTGCGAATACCAAAAACATTAGTCTAGAGAAGTTTCACCTTCTCGCCTCAAACAAAGACTCTCTTGCAATTCTTTTGTCATGTGTCACTGTTGCAAAACTCAAATCTGGTTTCTCGTGAAAGCCATATGCATCCTCTCACAACAATATAATAGAGAAATCATACCTAGATTCAAGTTATGAAATTTACTAATCAAGTTCTAATAATACACCAATGATTATTTAATGTTACATGAGAACCGCCATGGCCATTGAAAACGGCAGATTAAATATATTTGTAGACGATTGCTCGAACAAGGATATTTAATGAAACTTGAAGAAATCAAGGAATTGTTTAGACATAATCTTCCATATATGGTTGTTTTCAACAAATCGACGTATCACAAACGCAAGTTACTTTCGTAAATGAAAA